CTGCCGAGGGGGTGGCTCGGGAGCCGCAGGGCAAGTTTTGGGGGAAAAAAAAGAGAAGGGGAAGACCTTGCAGCTTCAATCTGGTGCGGGAGCAAAGGCAGAATCCATCGCCTCCGCCATCGCTGATGGAAAACTCTCCGCTCCCCATCACACAGGGACACGTCACCCTGCTGTAGTTTTGAAGGGGCAGGGGCGCACGGAGGCAGCCCCCCTCCTGCAGCGAGGAAGGCTCCAGCCAGGCACGGGTAACGCCGCCCCCTGCAGCCCCTGCCCTGGAGCTCGGATGCCTTGAAGTCAGTGAGTCACCGCTCTCCCGTCTAGAAACATTGAATTTCATCAACCCCCCTCGCAAAGCCCCGGCTTAGTGCAGTGGCTGTTTGGAAAAAAGAGGGACGGGGCCTGCAGGCTCCTGAGGTACAGCCGGGGGTTCTGCAGGTGGAAGCTGAACTTTAAACCGGGCCCTGGCCTGACAGCTTTGCCAACTCACTTATTGGCCAGCGCTGGCTCAGCTGGGCCCTGTTCCCGCACCACAGCCTGCGCCGCACGCGTCCCCCTTCCCCCGCCCCTCCAGGTAACAACTCGAGCTACACCGACACACAGAGAGATGTGTGGCTGCTGCAGCAATGCTTTTCCTTCTGCAGGAAAATCTTAGACCAAGTTTTTTTAAGTACAGTTTGCGATAGTCTTACCATCAGATAGCGGCACGTGGGGCATCCATCTGTCACTTCCAGGACTTGGCTCGTAAAGGTAGCACTGTCCTCTCACTTTGCTGCTCGCCTCAGGCTGCCCGCTTGCGTAGACCGTGTCTTTATGAAGCCACAAAGAGAGCAAAATCCATGAAGTAACCCTGTAAACCCAAATTCTTTTCCCCCGGCTTCAAGCACAGCACCAAGCGCTGCTCTTGGAGAAAGCAGCAGAAGGGACAGGACAGGAGGAGGGTGGCACAAAACCACCGCTTACTTAGCACCTGCAGCCAGCTGTGAGTAAAGGCTTAATTAAGTCAATTTTCTATGTCCAGTCAAGTTTGAGAAGAAGTAGTACAGCATGTGTGGGCTTTAAACTGCATTACAGCTGGGTCTGCGCCTCGGGGGTCTAAAGCAGTCTTGGGCCGAGACTGAGAAAGGCCAAAGAGCGAGCTTTGAGTTCCACAGAGTGGAAACGTTAGCACAGAGCTGAGCTAAACTGCCTGGGCGTTTAAGTTAATCACAGTTCTGGCCATTGGTTAGAAGGTAACAGCGGTACAGCGCTCCTTAAACAACAAAATCCCCACTCCATCAGCAAGGCCAGCTTCTTCCAAAAAATTTATTAATTTGAACACCCTCCCGTGAGCAAACTTTGCATCTTCCGGAGTTTACAGTGAACTCCAAAAGTTTGAATGTAGAAAGTGAGGCTGCAGGTTCCAGCCAGCTCACAGCCAGCTGAGCGAGGACGCTGCCCACTGTTTGATGTCTGTCGGGCAGTTGGGATACGCTTGCAGCGCGTCCATGATCTGACTGTTGTCCAAAAGCAGTTTCATTAGGAGGTACTCCCTCTGAGTACGCACAGACGGCCTTTCTACCGGCCTTACCAATTCCAGTTGTACCAAGTGTTCAAACGCCTAAAAACAAGAGGGGGGAAAAAATGAGGAAACAGAAGATACCATCGTTCTGGGCTGTACTGCTCACTGCGAATGCCCTGCGAGGCGCCGTTTTGACAGACACCCGTGACACACGAGCTCGGCAGCCAAGGCTCTATTTCACCTTCACTTTTCTTAAATAATATTTGACAGCTGGTGTACGTGTAACTGACTGGGAATTGTTATTCTGGGATACAAACTGGAATAGAATCTTCAGGCTGGAGAGGTGGGCCTGTGGGAACCTCGTGAGGTTCAACAAGGCCGAGTGCAAGGTCCTGCACCTGGGTCGGGGCAACCCCCGGTATCAGTACAGGCTGGGGGAAGAAAGGATGGAGAGCA